GGCTTAACAAACATTTGTTGATTGATTAATCGATCCTAGACTCTTCACTTGTCTTCATTCCACACATTTTATCAGTTGCCAAGTCTTGTCAATTCTATTTCTGCAACAGCCTTTGCACCCATCCCTCTGCCCACATAGATATCACCCTAGTTTAGACAATCATCACCTCTCACTGGGATTATTTTAAGAACTTTAGTTGGTCTCCCTTCTTCCAATCTCTTCCCTCTCTAATCAATTCTCCACACGGCTGTCACATTATTTTTTTTGAAGCAATGGGGTTAGGTGAATTGTTCAGGGTCACAAAGCTAGTAAGTGTCTGAGGCTGGATTTGAACTCAGGTCCTCCTGACTCTATGGCTGGTGCTCTATCTGCTTTGCCACCTTCCTGTTCCCATAATGATACTCTTAAAGTAGGGGCTTGACCATGTCAAACTCTTGCTCAGGAAGCTCCAGTGGTTTCCTATTGCTTCTAGGATAAGATACAACCTCCTCTGTTATTTAAAACCCTTCACGGAGTAGGTAGGTGGTGCAGTGGATAGAGCACCAGCCCTGGAGCTAGGAGGACCTGAGTTCAAATCCAGCCTCAGACACATAACACTTACTAGTTGTGTGACTTTGGGCAAGTCACTTAACCCCAATTGCCTCACCAAAAAAACCCAAAAACCCACAAAACCAAACAAAGTCCTTCACAATATGGCTCAATCTCTCTCCACAGAATTATCGTACACCATTTCCTTCATGTCCTCTCCTCTGGCCAAATCATCCTATTTGCTGTTCCCTATGCATAACATTCTACCTTCCATCTCATGCCTTTGCACAGGCTGCCCTCCATGCCTGTGTAAGGGGGTCAATAAGAGGAATTCATTAAATTGATCAGAAGCTCCCCATTCAAGAGGCAGCCCCAATCTCTGGAGTTCAATCAGTAAAATGTCACTGAGCAAGTCCATCTTCATAGGAGGTGCCCTTTAGGTGCCTATAGCAAAGTCCGCACCCTGTGGTCTTATCAGATTGTTGGGGGCAGGAGAGAAAGTCATCGATCGTCGAATGGATCAGAAGTCCTTCCTTACCTCTGCTGCCTAGGATCCCTAACTTCTTTCAAGGTTCAGGTAACCTTCCAATAGGCCTTCCCCAAGGTCCGCAATTGTTAGTGCTGTCCCCTCTCAAAATTACTTCTTATATATCATATATAGGTACTCTAGTTACTTATCTGAGACCACATTTTTTCCCCAAGTAGAATGTAAGCAGCAGGACTATGACTTTTTTTTTTGTCTTCATATACCCAGTTCCTAGTATAGTGCTTGGTACATAATAGGTGCTCAATTGGGCACCTAGATGGCACAGAAGACAGAGCACTGGGCCTGGAGTCAGGAAGATCTAAGTTCAAATCTGGCCTCAGACACTTACTAGCTGTGTGATCCGGGGCAAGTCACTGTTTGCCTCAGTTACTCAATTATAAAATGCAGACACACTAGAGAAGGAAATGGCAAACCACTCCAGTATCTTTGCCAAGAAGGCCATAGGGTCACATAGAGTCAGAAGTGACTGAACAACAAAAAAGGTGCTTAATAAATGAATTGAATTAAACTGAATAGCTAAGAGGTCTTGAAAAAATTCCCTTCTCTAAAATGAAAGGGTTTGATTAGATGCTACCCAAGGCCCTTTCCAGCTCTAAAATTCTGTTTTATGCCAGTGGGAACCAACCTATATTCATTTAACTTTCATCGAAGTCCTTTTCTTAAATGTGAACCTTCAAGGAAAAATAGGAAGTCGAAAGCATCTTATGCTTTTTAATGCTGGATCTGTCCTATCCTATGAGGTTCTTATCCATATCCTTTCATAAATTCTCCATAGAGGATCCACTCAATATGCTACAGGCCTTTCCTTTGGCTCTTTGAATAACTCTAGGATACCAACCAGTGTAGCATTTGGGTGGTCCATCTGTTATCTCTCACTCTTGCTATAGGCCCCACCTACTACTTCCTTTTCTAGGCATCCCCATCCCTGGTGATATCTTGTATGCCTCTTCTCACCCACAAACCATTACTGGTAACATCGTACTGCTCCCTGCGGATACCCACCATATGTTCCTCCATTACTTTTTGGGTCACCTGCAATTTCCAGTGATGTTGCCAAGATGGAAGAGGAATTTGACATTGCAGTTTTTGGACTCTCAGTATGGGTTTGAGAGGTTGTAACACCAAGGGAGAAATACAATAAATAAAAATAGCAGTAACATTGACAGTAATAACAACAACAATAATAACATTTATGTAGTGTTTTAAGGTTTGCAAGGTACTTTTACACATATTAACTCAGGAATCCTGGGAGGTAGATGCTATTTTACCTCCATTTTACAGATGAAAAAACTAAGGTAGATCAAGGGTAAGTGACTTAGCAAATAAATGGCTGAGGCAGGATTTGAACCCAGGTCTTCTTGACCCCAAGTCCAGCACTCCATTTACTGTGCCACCTAGAATAGTTGAAGATCACCACAACAACTTTTGTCATGATGGTTGCTATCATTTTCCTGGAACATCTCAAGGATATTATGGGGCTGTTTCATTTTAACGACTGTCATTAACATCTTTACTGAAAAAAAAAATCTGATCAATTGGTAGGAAATTTTAGTGGAAAGCGCTCTGGCTCTGGAATCAGACCACCTGAGATCAAATCCTGGCTCTGATGCTTAATACCTGTGTGATCTTGGGCAAATACTTGACTTTTTTGTGACCTGGTTTTCTCATTTATAAACTGAATGAATAACAAAGCATTTGTTAAGTGCTTACTCTGTGCAAAGCACCGTTCTAGCTCGGTCCTGGGGACACAAACAAAGAAGCAGGACAGTCCCTGTTTCCCAGAAGCTCCCATTCTAATGGGGGACATAACACAAGTGGAGGTTTTCAGCTACCATTTAGATGGAAAGGCCTCATGCTTCTTACAGTACAGTGGCAAGGATAAAATCATATCAATTTCTATTGTTCCACCACACTACAGCACCAAGGACTTGGGTCACCAGGACTTTTCTTTTCTGGGTCTTCACTAGATGTGCCTGTCATACCTGCAGGAACAGTTGCCAGGCTGTCTCTTCATAGGGGTCACTTCCCAGAACAAAGGAGGGGGTTCCTCTGAGGTTCCTTCCAAATCTAAATTTATGATTCCTATGAAATGCATTAAAGGAGGGACACTGGAATCTGGTGAGGCCAGCTGCCACTAATCACACGTAGGGGACACATAGGGAAACTGACCCCAGAAATCCCTTTCTATACTGTCCCCTCACCCCATCCTTCAGCTGCTCCACTCTTGCTGTGCTATTACACAATTAAAAAATTCTAGGTCATGCCCACAGACATCATCTACCTCTAAGAGCCAAAGGTTGTGGGTGTCCTTAGGAATGGTGCCAGCTCACTTTGAAATTTTGCTTCTATGCTCTGGGAACACCAGATCTCCAGAAGCAACTCCACCCAGCTAACAGCTGACCTGTGTTGGCTTGTCTAATGCACTGATGAATTTGGCTTCAGTACAGAGCTCTTGGGAAAGAAGCACTGAACTTGTCACAAAATTCTTCCCATCCCTCCCTCCTAATCTCCTGTAAGAAAGCTGTCGTGTTTGACATATCAACCTGGGTCCACAATTGCTAATGCAGAGGAGCAAAAGTTTTTATCTGGGAGCTTCATTCCTCCCTATTAAAAAATTTTAAATTGATATTGATGCCTCTTGTCTTTATGTTAATCATTTCTTCCACATACCATACCCTCCCCCCTCCACTGCCATTGACCTTTTCCTTGTGACAAAGAAAAACAATTAAAGAAAAACATCCAGCATGGAGACTTTGCCCAACGATGTGTACTGTATTCTATCCTTGTCACTCCCTATTTCTTTACCATGAAGGAGGAGATATGTTTTATTATCTCTTCTTGAAGACTTTCATTGATTCTGCCATTTTGACAGAGTTCAACTCGCTTTTAGCCACTGTTTAGATGACATCGTTGTAGCTATTGTGCATCTCGTTTTCTTTCTTTACTTCACTCTCTTAGTTCATGCAGAGTTTCCCACAAGATTCTGGCTGTCTGCTACCTAAGGGCAGGTAAGCCCAAGAGCCCTGGAGAATAGGGGCAATCCCATGAGCAACTATCCCTGCTTCTAGTCAGGCAAGGCCACTATACAGGGAAAGACCTTTACGTAGAAATGACCTGGCAACTGCCTTCTTCGTATTCAGAGCTGCTGAAGATCTGGAAAAGAAAGTCACTATCAAGTGATTCAACATTAGTAATAGCTATGGTTTTATTAATGGGAGTGACCCGAAATGAGATAAATTACCATTTGCTCTGCCTTTACACCCTAAGGACCACTAAACCTTGTAACTGAAACCTCTTACATGTATTATCTTCCATATTAGAAAGTGAACTTTTGGGAACAAGACTGCCTTTCTTTTCTCTTTGTATCTCCAGTGCAAATAGTAAGCTCTTAGTAAATATTTTTAAAATGTATTTATTTCTCTGAATTCTCTATATATGTCATTTTGTGTTGCAGAACAAAATTCTATTCCATTCACAGAGGGATAGGAATTGGATTGTTGATATCGTTGGTATGGAGAACAGCCAGGTGAGGAACTCTATCAGTGAAGGTCTATACCTTCTCTGCAACTTATCCATAGTCTTGGAGAATTGTTTGAACACTGAGATGTTAAGTAACTTGGTTCAGGGTCATACAGCCAGTGCATATCAGAAAGGACAACTTATGCCTAGGTCTTCCTGGCCCTAGTTGATGAGTATCCACTTTGTTACTAGTTCTTTGGTACTATAAAGAGTGCTGCTATCAAAATGTTGATATATATTAGACTTTTGTTTCCATCTCTGACTTCCTTGGGGATACATGTATCCAGTAATGGGACAGCCTCCTAAAAGTAATGGATTGTTTAGTTACTTTTCTTTTGTAATTCCAAACTGAAATAAAGAATGGGTGAACCTTTGCACAGCTCTGCCAACAGTCCAACTTGCCTACCTTCTCACGGTCCCTCCATTATGGATTGCTTCCATTACTTTCCTCTATTTTCCACTGAAGCAAACAAGACTGATGTTTGGGACATTGGTGGAAGGGCTCCAATGGATATCATTCACAGTTGAGTAAACTGAAGCTGAAAGAGAATAAAGCCACAGATCCATCCAGGTTAAGAAGTTGTAACAACTTCCATAAATACTTTCACAAATTTTGAGAATATGATAGGAGAAATCATCTGGGCCTATTCCAAGGTGAACAATTCTGAGCTTAGGTATTTTTTTTTCAGTTATTGTTCATCTATAAATAGCATCAATATTAATTGATGTAAATAAGTAATACTAATTGTACATTTGTATGGTTCCATGTGTCCCAGTGCTGTTTCATTTCCCATGCTTAATTACGCCTTGATTTCACCTAACTTACTTGTAATTTTCTTATTTTTTTCTCTCTGATCCCCTTAATACACACACCAGTTTCTTTCTGCTGCTCCCATTGCTACCCATTAACCTTCCACTCAGCCCTTCTTTTTAAGCACATGGTACATGAAAATAAATTAAAATAAGTGCAACCTGACAAATGAACATCATTGCATATTTAGCTAATTAGACTTAATAGCCTTTCTTAGTTCACTGTTATGGGCTATGAAAACCCCCCATACTAATATCTTAACATGACAGAGGGTAGATATTTTTTAAAAAGGCATATATCTTTAGATGAAAGGAAGATCACTTGTTATACCCCACTATAATCCTTCTGAGTTTCTTCTCCACAAGGGGGACCTCTTTATGTCAGCCAATGAGAGTAAAACGGGAATTTGGGGAGAGCAGATGCAGGTAACAACCATCTTAAGGAAAAAAATCTATCAAATGAAAACAATTTGATTCTCTCTCAAAAAGTCAATTTCCACTTAGGATATTAAGGTTGTAATAAAAAAAAAAGACTTTTAAATTTAACAAGAAATGGAATTAGTGGCTAAAATGTTGGATTTCAAATCTTGTCTCAGATTTACTAGTTACGTGACCTTGAGCAAGTAAGTTAGTCAACACCTACTACATGCATACATTGTGCTAAGCATTGGGGAATTCAAAGAAAGTGAAAAACAAAACAAAACCAGGTCTTGCTCTCAACCTCAGTTTCCTCATCCGTAAAATGGAGATAATAGTTGCTACTTCATAGAATTTCTGTGAAGATCAATGAGATGCAATATGTGAAGTGCTATAAAAATCTCAAAGCATATTATTATTATTTTTATTGTAGTATCTTGGGGCTTGAGTATACTTAGAGAAGTCATCAAGTCCATCCCTCTGCCATGAATTAGGACCTCGTGTAAAAATAAACTAGAAAGATAGAATATTCCATTTTTTAAAAAAAACATAAAGAGCCTACAACTCCCCCTGGTAACATTCTTCAAAGTATTTTAACTTCAAAGTTTTCTTTTACTTGAAAACAAAACAAAACAAGGCATTGTGATTTTATTTGTGTGGGTACTCCCTCTAAGGATATAATGCTTAACCCCTCTATAATTTAGTAGATGGTCTCTGATCTTTGAGAGATGCTGGGGCCTCAAACTCTGTAGTCAACAAAGTGATGAACCTCTCCTAACTTAGCTAGGTTAGTGCACAAATAACAGATGTGCAATCCATCCCTGAGGCCATATTCAATCTTTCCAGCTTGGTAGGATCTGTCCAACTTTGTACTCCATTGGGATGACCTTGGTGACTACAGTCACCTCCATACCACAGTGAAGAATTAAAATAAGCCTAGTGAAAGTCTCCCATCTCACTGGAAGAAAATTCTTTTCAAGTCCATTCTCTTTGTTTCTTTCTTGTTGTATGTTCAAATACAAATGGAGAAGGCCAGTGCCTTCCTTTAAAACCGCTGAGTGTTAGATTTGGAAGGGAATTTTGATATTAGCTATTTCAACCTTCTTATTTTACAAAGGAAGTAGTCATGTAGCTGATTAGTGGCTGAGACCAAACCCTAACCCTCTTGACTCCCAAGACTCCCAGGGTTCTCTTATAGATGGAAAAGGGAAGGATGAAGATGATTATTAAGTCATGGGTTTTTTTTTTCTCCAGCATGAACAAACCTAATTACTTTATAACCCTTTATTCATAAGTCTGATTACCCAACCAGTTGATCTCTTTTATATTTTTTTTCCTTTGAGCCAGCTCTGTAAAAATCTAAAACTGTAACTAGAAATTCTTGAAGCCAGAGCAAATTCCATCGAGGGGAGTGAGGCGGTGTTAGAGGACAATCTACCCTAAATGAGTGAAGTCACAAAAAGAAAAGAATCAGCCATCCCCCAGAAGGATGAGGCTGTGTTAGGTATAGCCAGTAGTCCCTAACCCCTTAATTTCTAAGGATTAGGGAGAGTAGGCAGGTATGGCAGGGGAAGGCAATCTCTGGGAAAGAGGGCATAATGGGACCCTGGAGAGTGAGCAAGGAAGCAATAATAGTCACATCACAGGGAAGACATGCCTTGTCCCTTGGAAGTACCCTGGGAATAAATCTGGCCATCCCACCCTAGCTGTGACTTTGTAATAATCCATATACTATATTGTGCATAATTACAAACTGAAAACATTATTAATGATAATTTCTCATTAATTAATGAACAAGTATTTATTGGCCCTCTATGGGCTCCCAGCTGAGTACCTACTATGTGATAGGTATTGTGGGAGTTACATAAAGAAACGTAAATCATAGTTCTTACTCTCAAAGAGAAATAGAATATAATTACATGAAATAACATTTATTTAAGATTTATTATGTGCAGAGCATTATGCCCTACAGGAAATGCAAAGTTTAGTTAAGACCATACAAAATTTAATCTAGGCCGGGGTGGGAAGAGGCCACATGTGGCCTCAAGGCTGCAGGTTCCCCATGCCTGGGGTAGGCTATGATCTCAAGAAACTTTCAGCCAGAGACTCTGAGGGTTAGATTATAAACTCCTTTAGGGCAGGGCCTGCTTTGCTTTTTTTTTTTTGTCTTTGCATTCCTAACACCTAACACAGTGCCTTGCACACAGTAGGGACTTAACTTGTTGAATTTAATTCTGTGAGTCCATAAACATTTTCATGAGACGTTTAATCATTTTGTTTTTCAGTGTTGACTATGGGCATAAACAAATGGACTACCATGAAAATATAGTTTCTACACCAACATCTGTTGCAGTTGATAAAGAAGCATTTTATAGAATGCAACATAAGCTTCTCAAAGATAGGAACTGTTTCTTTTTGTCTTTATTTCCCCAGCACCTAGCCAAGTGTATTGCACATAGTAAATACTTAACATTTTTATTTGTGGAATTGAAGATCCTGTAGACTGAGTCAACATACATTTTTTTTATAACTTCGTTCAGAGTAAGCACAAAGGAGGATGGCAAAAGTTGTTACACTAATCTTACTAAAGCACCTTGCTCATGCTACTCCCCTGCTCAAGAATGTACAATAGCTTCCTACTATCACACTGTAATTTATCCCAAAAAGCCTTGGAGGGTAGGCATAAGAGGTAGAAGGAAAAAAGGGGCCACCAAAGAAGAGAAAATGTAGTAACACAGGTCAGGAGGACAACTAGGATAGGCACTGTCACACGTGGCAAAGGAAGAGAGATTTCTAAGAAAGAGTGAGCAGTCATTAGTATCAATGCAATAGCAAGGTCAAAGAGGATGAGAATTGAGAGAAAGTAATTGGATCTGGCAAGAAGAAGGTCATTAGAAGTCAAGAGAGGAGTTACAGTAGAGTAGTGGGGGTCAAAGCCAAATAGCAGAACTTAAGGAGGGAATAGGTCCGTAGGAAGTAGAGGCAGCAACTGTAGGCTTTCTTAGAGGCAAGATACTAGAGTAGTTTGCCATTTCCTTCTACAGCTCATCTTACAAATGAGGAAACTGAGGCAAACAGGGTTAAATGACTTGACCAAGGTCACACAGGTAGTGTCTGAGGCCAGATTTGAACTCATGAAGATGAGTCTTCCTGACTCCAAGCCAGAGTTGCTTAAAGCACTGAGAGTTTAAGTGACTCTCACTTAAACTCATTATTGCCCAAGGTCATACAGCCAGGATACCTCAGAGGTGGGACTTAAATCCAGGTCTTCTTTGCTTCAAGGGAAGATCTCTATCCATTATGTCACACTTCCTTTTCCCACTGTTTCATTTCCTTGCCTGGCATTCAATAAATGGTTGTTGAATTAAACTGAACTCAGAAGAAATAATGAGAGGGTGTACATATCCAGAGTTTTATATATTGAGGTTTAGGTGGAGGTATGTAAGGGAGTTTAGATGGTCTCTTTTTGCTGGTAAAGTACAAAGTGAAGTCATTTGTTGAGAATGAGGGGGGAGACGAAGAGAGAGGGAATAATTGGGGACATAAAGAGGAGAAGGCATGGAAAAATTATTTTGGGATAATGCCCAGAAATCAATGAAAAGAATGAAAGTATTGACAATTAGCTTCAAGGACAGATGGAACCTAGAGAGTCTAACTTCTGTATTCTTTTCCACCACCCAGACCCAACCTACTTCATCTTTTGTTTTCTGGCTTCTCTGTGTTTCTGTCCCCAGAAGACCTAATGTAATATTGAGCCTATCTCTGAACTGCTATTCAGAACTTCCTAGATCCTATCTGGCCTTATCCTCCCCCAACCGGAATGGTGCCTCCACAATAACTCTTAGTTTGACTCCTTCATAAATGGGTTTAAAGTACATCGTTTCCGGGAGCATTTCTGCAATGAAACCAATCACTTTTTTTTGGGCCTGGTCTCTCCATCACTAATATTGCATGTTCTGGTCTGTACTGTTTCTATATGTTAACTTGTGCTAGTCAGGGGTTTGCAACCTGAGGCCTCTAAATATCTGGACAAAAAAATCATTTTAATCGTATGTGTTTTAGTTAATGTATTTAATAAGATTATACTGAGGAGGAACCTACAGATTTCACCAGCCATCAAAGGGGCCCAAAAAAGTTAAGAACTCTTTTTGGTTTTGTATCAGGCTACTTCTCAAATCATTCCATGTGTTTGCTGATGATAAATGCTACAGTTACAAATAAGTGTTTTTCCATGAATAAAATGATTTGGAGACAAAAGCACAGAAGAAAAACAAATTTCTTCTTTCCCCCCAAAGGTTTATGAGAAATAACAAAGGAAAAAAACCCCTATTTTTTCCCCCTGTTCAGTTTGCTTTGCAGTTCTCTCTCTCCCTCTCCTCTTCTTTTTCAAACTGACACTGACTTGGTGAGCTCCAGAATCAATTTTGTCGTTTTCCAGGAGGTCCTAGTTCTTCCCTTCTTTTGGGAAAAATTATGCCTAACTATTGGCAGTGTCTGTGCAGATAGCAATTTGAAAAATTACACAACTGCTTACTTCTTGAGAAATAAACGCTGGCTGGCTTGCTTCTGAGCTGTCAACATCAAGGTCATATTTCATTCTGAAACTAAGTGAATGTTCTGCTCTAGACTGTTGGAGGGACCAGAATAAACCCGAAAGGGAGAAAGCAGTCCTGAGAGTTCCAAGCTTAGAACTCTCCTTATCTCAGTCAAAGTCCTGAACACTACTGAGCACAGGTTTAGAATGTACTTTAGGTCAGGAAGGAGTTGAGCAACGATCTTATAAAATGTGTTTAGAGTTAGCAAGGCAGATTGATGTTTTAGGAACTGATATTCAGAAATTCTCACTTTTAATTATTCTGATGAATCAAAAGTCTTTACTGGGCATTAGAACTGACTTCACAAATTCAAGACGTCTGTGATTTCATCTGTGTGGACAACTCCCTCCACATCTTAAAAGATGTTTTGTTATTTTATGGTAGCCAAAACAATCATCATTGTCATCATTGCCTAGTGGCTAACTTTGTGGTAAAGAATTTAACTGGTCTGATCCTGGAACAGGAACGACAGATGCAGAGACCATTTTGGATTCATTCTCAAAGCCTTTCTGCTCAGTAGGACTCATCAGTTCTTGCACTGTGCTAGCAACCTAGATTTCAAGAATACTAGGTCATTTTCACAACATGGAAAAGTATCAGAAGAGGACTTTAATGGAAGTACATTGGAATTGTTTTCTTTGTTTTTCCACTTGGACTCTCAATAACCTAAATATGACACAAAAAGATACGGTCCTATATCAGATCAGATACAAATTTCAGACACAAAAATTTCTTAAAAAGAGGTAGCTGATGTAGAAAATATTAGTGGTAAAAGTTTCCACTGTTACTTATAAAACCTTTAAATAACTTGAAACGTATAATCATTATCTAATTACTTTTCATATTATATGGATGTGAAGTGTTAAAGACACAGGTAATTGTTCTCTTTTTGCAGGTGAAGTAATGGAGGCCCAGAAGGGTAATAACTGTTTGCATTAGGTGAGGGAGGATAGATTTTCCAGAATGGTCAGCATCATGTGGAAAAAAAGCTGCTATCCAGAAAACAGAGTAGAGAAGGGGAGCACATGAGTTAAGTGTTAGGGTTCTGTGAGAGGGTCCTTTGACCTCTGACCTAGGCATACGCAAAAGAATAGGGAAAGACTCAAAAGGTATCAAGGGCACAGCTGATTTTATGACACAGTCATCATCTCTAAAATCCTTTCATGGTTGCTTTCCCTAAGACCCTAGGAAACTTAGAACACAGCTTAAAACTTTTCCAGGAACACATATCAACACAAGAAAACACAGGCACACAAAGGAAGTCATCTAGGTAACCAGAGATCCACTTACCATTCTTGAAAGAAAAGGTTTCACAGAGCTCGATTTGCCATCCTTTCTTGTCTGGGCAACCAACCTTACGTCTACAGTAAAATGACGAGTTTATAATCACCAGGCCGGAAATCCTGGGTCTCTCTTCTTTCATCTACTCCCTTTCGGAAGCTTTAGAGCTGGGAGAGAGACAGATGCCATCATTAGGAGTACTGACAATAGATGTTGTCTTCCAGAGCCTACAGGTTAAATGACCTGCTTACCGATTCTGGTAACTAAGGAGGTCAGTCAACATTTATTAAGTACCTGCTGTGTGCTGATCCTGGAGAAGGAAATGGTAAGCCACTCCAATCTCTTTGTCAAGAAAACCCCATGGACAGTACTAGTGTGCTATGGTCCACAGGGTCAAAAAGAGTCAGACATGATTGAGTGAACAACACAAAATGTGCCAGGCATTTTGCTAGCTGCTGGGGATACAAAGTATGACCCATAGGTTCTAGAACTACTCAGACCAAGCAGGTAAGGTCACTAGAAAGTAGCTACTACTTATCTCCTTAGGATTTTAGGCAACCCTGAAGGGATATAGAGGGGCGTATCTTTCTAAGACCACTGCTCACAAGCCCCTATCAGCTGTGTTCCGACCAACATCAATCTCCAGTTAAGATCTCCCTAATGTCTTTTAACTAATTAATATCAATTAACTTTTATAAGGGGATATTTACTGAGAAGACATAGCAAAGACTGAACTACAATAACAACCCAAGCCAGAAGTACACAATCTTCTACCATCTCAGTTTCTAGGGAAACTGGGATTAAGTTTAAGGTAGTTGGTACAAAACATTCTCCCCATCAAGTTCACTTCTGGGCGTGGATTACGTGATGGATGGATTGTTCCCTTAACTGTAGAACACTGTGTCTTGGTTACTAGATCAGTACAATGCTAGGTTGAGGGTAGCTCCTCAGGTTTGGCTTCTCACTATTGGCTTGGCTATTGCTACTCAAAGCAGACTCAACAATAGACTCCAGTTGCTGGATCTCTGATGGTTCTTCCTACCTTTCAAAGCTTATAAGATCATAATTTGATCCATACTAGCTACAATACTCATTCGTTAAAGATCAGGAAAGAATATATCCAACAGAGACATCAACAGAAATGGCCATATGCATTCATGGCCACATGGTGGCCAGTTGGGGACACAAGTCAACAGGTGGCAGGCAGCAGGCTATTGCCATATCAGCTACTGATACTTCTGTCCCTACCTAGAGGCTTGCACTAGTTCTTGCCTCACTCTCCACCAGTGAAGAGAGAGAATGTCAATTCAAGCCTGTTTTATGCATTCAATTACAGCAACCAGATTCAGCAGCCAATTGACTTTTAGTCAACATGTAATAATGACAGGATAATAGTTTAAAAAAAACCTGCTCATGCTGTGAATCAGAGAGGGGAAAAAACCCCTCCATTAAAATTTCTAGACATAACCTTACTAAGCCTCTGTGTGAATATTTTTGCAGACAGAGCATTTTATGCCCTCACTGACCAGTAAGCCCTACACCCCATTTCACAAAGAATGAAGCAAAGAGCCAAGGGAAATAAAATAGTATGAGATAAAGCTGATATGAGCAGGTATATTGATTAGGAAAGTTAAAAAAAAATCAAACTACATGGGAGGCAAAGGGGAGCCATGAAAAGGATTCAAGGAGAAAATAATAGTAGTTTTATTTTGGCAGTAGCAGTTTAAATAAACTCAGGAGGTAGAGTCAGTACCTGTGCTTATCTGACATTATTTTCAAACAGGAACACTTGGGGTGCAGCTTACAAAATAAAGAGAGATGTGTTTTGTTCCAAAGCTAAGGCACAGTGCAACAAGCACTGAAGTAAGACTGAAGAGAGTCAGAAGATCTGGGTTCAAGCCTCACACTACTTGTTCCGTGAGTGATCTTGCAGAAGGCTCTCAATCTTCTTACACCCTCAGTTTCCTCAAGTGTAAAATGGATTCTGAGGACAATTCCAGCTTTAGAGCTATGACCCTCTCATCCTATTGCTATGATACAGTACCTTGCTGAAGTCAGCACCATTACTCCTAAATTGAAATTCATAGATTTAACGAGCTCCAGCAGTCTCCTCAGTGAGAAGGGCAGCACACTACAGCAGAACCAGCACTAGTTTGGTACAGAAGATATGTAGAGAAGATGGAAGCAGAAATAGGGGAGAGACCAAAGGACCAGAAAAAGGTAAATGAACGTGACAAACTGCAGGAGCAGGAAAACAATGTACAAAATGACCACAACCATGACTAAGACAATGTAAATGTAAATAATAATGATAACAACAATAAATGAATACTACGTAATTAAAATGACTAAGGCTGGCCCAAAAGGAGAGATGAGAAAATGGACCTCCTTCCCTTTTCACTATAGGTGTAGACTGTTGCATATACACTGACATGATTTTTGTGCTAATTTTGTTGAACCTCAAAAAACTCTCTGGTTAGAGGAAGGGGAAGAATATATTTGGAAATGAAGATGTGGTGAAAACAAAAGATGTCCGTAAGATTACAAAGCAAAAAAAATATCCCCCTCAAAAATGAGTGGATGAGGGGCAGCTAGGTGGTGCAGTGGATAGAGCCCTGGCCCTGGAGTCAGGAAGATCTGAGTTCAAATCTGGCCTCAGACACTTCACATTTACTAGCTGTGTGATTCTGGGCAAGTCATTTAACCCCAACTGCCTCACCAAAAAGCAAAAAAACTATGTTAAAAAAATGAGAGGGTGACCTGGAATGATGATGATGATAATGATGATGGTGGTGGTGGTGGTGGTGATGATAGCACTTACTATGCGCTAGAAGTAGTGATTTGGCCAGGGTCACCTACCAGGCCAGGTAGGGTTTGGTTGGACCCCAGGCAGGCAGAGAAAGTACTATTCTCCTGTAAGTATTGAACTTGGAGCCAGAAAACACTAAGTCTGTGAAATCATCTTGGAACCTATGTCACACCTTTGTCTTTTACCTTTTTCAAACATTTTGAAGGAAGCCTATTTCCCTTCATTTTGTTGCTCATTCCAGTTTTTAACAAGGTAGCTCTTCCAAGCTTAACTTAAACCTTCTCCTGAAGAAATCTTGTTCTGTTTTCTGGAGGAGATTGGTAAATCATTCTCTTTATAAATAATCCTTCATACACTTCAATAGGGTGGATGCTTCTTGCTTCTGATTTTTCTTCCCTCAATTTAATTCCTTTATCCTTAAAAAAAAATGGATCTCACTTTCTAAACCTGAAAGCATTTTCTTCCCCATTTCTTCTACATCTGGAATCTGTTTGTGCATGTGTGTGTGTGTGTGTGTGTGTGTGTGTGTGTGTGTGTGTGTCTTGAGCAATAGGAAGAGCTGCAACAGATCAGAATCTTCCCTCTCAGCTAACACTTGGGAAATGCTTCCTGGGAAGTTAGCCAGAGAGTTCTTATTCACCTTCATGGCAACTGTGGGCATAGCTCCTCAATCTAAAAGACTCTCCATTATCCAACCCTGAAGTATTCACTTAGGACACCAAGAGCCACAGAAGCCTTCTGAATTTTTATTATCAAAGTTAAGTGAGGCATTAACAATTCAATTCAACAAATGTCTATTAAGTGCCTGTTGTATACAGAGCACTGGTGTATTTTTCCTGAAGTAACAGCAATAGTTCTCATTTAGGGAAGCAATGTAGCAGAGTGTATAAAGGTTTGGAAAACCTAGGTTTGAGCTTGGCCTCTTCTCTTGCACAATGGTTGTATGGTCCTGGGCAAATTTCTTAATATCTCTGTGCCCCAGGCAAATGGAACATAGTAGGTGCCTAATAAATATTCATTCCAGGGGTATCTAGGTAGTGTAGTGAATAGAACACTGGCTCTGGAATCAGGAGGACCTGAGTTCAAATCTAGCCTCAGACACTTACTAGCTGTGTGACCCTGGGCAAGTTACTTAATCTTGATTGCTTTCTTTCCCTGCCCTTCCCCCCAATAAATACCTGTTCCTTCCTTTGCCACCCCCTTCCCTTCTAAGACTATAGTCATGGAACAGTTGTTGATCTTCATTAATGAAAGGAAAGAAACAAGCATTTATAAGCTTACTTAAGTACCAGGCACTGTAAATCACCAGATCTAGGGGGGAAAACTACATTTAATAAGGCTCTTTAAGGTTACAGGAAAGTGCATTCTTCACAACAACCTTGTGAGGTTGGCAATGTAAGCATTATTATTATTACCATTTTATGAATGAGAAAATGGAGGCTCAGCAAGGGTAGATGACTTGTTTGTGGCCACAAAGCTAGCTAGCATCTCAGCCAGATTCAAATCCAGGACCATTCTCCTTACACCCCAGTTGTAGGCTAGTCTTGATCAAAATCATTGTTGAAGGCATCATGGCTTAGGGGATTGGGATGTTCTGCTTACAACTAATATTCTTTGTGGGATATAATTTGAGTGCTTTCTCCACCCTACACGTCTTAGTTTCCCCATTTGTAAAATGAAAACATTAAACTTTGCCTTATCTTTACTACATGGGGATATGATGAGGGAAAAACAAGATAATGCCTATGAAACCACTGTTTAAATGAGTAAATTGTGGTATCATAGGTTTAGAGCTAGAAGAGATCATAGGATTGCAGATTTAGAGCTGGAAGGGACCTCATACGTTTTTTCCCTCTTTTTCTTTTTTTTTCCTTTAAAAAATACTGTTTTTGTAAGGGTTGGCTCTCTGCAAGGGGACATGGGAAGGATACTGGGGAAAACTATGATAACATAAAAAAATCAATAAAAGCTTACGTAAAAAAGATAAAAGATACATCTATATCATGATTCCTTTACGAGGTGTGAACACCTGCTGAAATGAAAGAGAGTGACTTCTTTGCACAATAAAAATTAGACACCATTTTAGACACTATTTCAGAGCTTTAAAAAAGCTAAGAACCAAAGCACTGGAGAGAATGCAAGAAGGAACTGCCTGCACAGAAGGAGGGATAAGGAAATTTTCTTCTCTGATCCCCCTCATCTAACATGTGGATTCTCTAGCTACCTTCAAATCTCAATTAAGCACCATT